TTCCTAAAATAATTGTGTAACTTAATTTTACCAGGTAAAAACTTGGTGATTATTTTAGGACAATGACAATAGTTGTCTCCAACCTGCTGCTACCYGTTGTTTGTTTTTCATGGAGCTACTGAGAGAAGCTAGCGTGTCAGATAGTCACAGTTAGCATCTTGTGTGAGTTTGATTCATGCAGTTTTTCTCTTCAGAAGTWTTCCACCTGTTTTATCACCTGTTTCCACTACAAGACACTTGGTTTGATTTTTCAGTCAGATTCAAAGAAATCCCAAAGTGGACGTTGTTGTTGTTGTTGTTGTTGTTGTTTTCTCCCAACTGTTGTTGTCATTCAGCAGGTGATGCTGAGCAGCAGCAGACTGTAAACAAGTGTTGTTACAGACCACAGCTGATGGAAACTACTCCATTAAAATAAACTGAAACACTAAAACTAAGGATATTCTGTCTATAATTACAGTTAGTTTTAGTTTTTTCATTTTATTATAGTTTTTATTTATTTTAGTTAAATAATATTTTTCAGTTTCAGTTCTCTTTATTCAGTTAGTTTCAGTGAACTATAATAACCCTGGTTCTAACAGGATGACCTCACTCACCTTGTTGTGGAAGTCGTAGCAGCTCCAGAACTCTGCCGGGTTGAAGGGCAGCTCCAGTCGGGTCGGCACCGTGCTCAGGCAGCGCTGCACCAGGTCCGGGAACAGTCTCTGCGAGGCGGTGCCGGCCTGCGGGCTGCAGCTGAACAGCAGGTAGCTGAGGTGAGAAGCAGAGACAGGTGAGTCAGTGTGGGAGGACAAGCCGTGCACAGGTAAACTAGGGGGGACCCTCACTCCATCCACAGCGTGCGAAGCTCCTCCAGCTGCAGCACGGAGCCCAGCGCTCGCTCAAACGCCTCCACCGCCTCCTCCACGGTGCCGTGCAGCCACACCCAGCGGCTGTAAGACACAGACAGCATGAGGAGCCCCGCCCACAGCCTGGACACCTCACCTGAGGAAACACCTGCTGAACTCACCAGTGCAGCAGGTGAAGGAAGGACATCTGCTGACGAAGCTGCTCCTCCAGCTCCTTCCTGATGACAGGACTGCCCAGCAGCTCCTTGCTGGGGAAACCCAGGATGTGACTGACACAAACAAACAAACAAACAAACAAACAAACAAACAAACAAACAAACAAAGAGTAACTAAACAGAAAGAAACAGAACCAGAGAGTTCAGTTAGGAACAAACGTCTCGTGTGGAGGCGGAGCTTCACGTACCAAAGGACATCCACAGGTGTCTTCTGACTCCGCTCGTCCTCACAGAGAGACAGGATGAACCCTCGGAACAGTGGAGGGATGGCGCTCGACTTGTCCTGCAGAACAGAGAACATCAAGGAGAACCACGAAGCAACAGGTTGGCAAAAAAAAAAATTAATCACTAACGGTGGCGTTTAGTTGATAATGATTGTGATTAATAGATGACACATGTATGTTTTTGACTCTACATCAGTCATCCTGTTCTAAATTATAAATGATCAATCAAACTAACTTCATTTTAACAGCTACACACAGTGTTGATTTTATTGCTCGTAAACAACAGATTAACTGAGTGCGCTGTGAATTCTTGTAGATTTATTTCCATTATTAGCCAGAGCAGTTTGTTGTAGTGACGTCATTCTGCATCTTCTGCTTTTCCTCTGGTTGATGACGATGTATCACGTGATTTAACAATTAAACATGTTTATAGTGTTAGCTTTAACGTTAGCTCTGTGCTAACCTTGGCAGCACATTAGCTCCTCTAACTTTAACTCAACTTTATTGTTAGCATGTTACTGTTACCTCTGCGTTAGCATTAGTGCCATATTAGTGTTAGCTCTACATTAGCATTAGCTCTGCATTAGTGCTAGCTCCCATGTTAGTGTTAGCTCTGTGTTGGTTTTAGTGTTAGCATTAGTGTCACTTTGTTATCTTGGCGTTGGTGTTAGTTTGTTGCTAGCTCCATGTTAGCATTAGCACTGGCGTTAACTCTATGTCACAGTACCATTAACAAGTCACTAATCACAGTAGATCCAAGTGTCAAATATATATCAGTGGCAGTTTATCTGATGATTAATCGCACGATACGATTTAGCCTAGCTAAATACATCAGAATGAATCAGGTCCTGCTCTAGGTTCTGTTTTTATTTTATCACAGGGGTCTACAGATGGCTTCAGACATCCTGCAGCCTGGAGCTCACCTGTGCCATGAGGAACCTGCAGCAGTGGTAGAACACCTGAGCGTTGTGGGGACACTCAGCCAGAGCGTGCAGCCACATGTTGACCGCCTGCTCAGAGTTCCCTCTGCTGATGTGCAGCTCAGCCAGAGAGTCACGCAGGGTGCACGAGTCAGGACAGAACTGCAGCAAGGCCTCGCACAGAGCCACACCTTCATCGTACCTGCAGGAGGGCACACACCACCATCATCATCATCATCATCTGACTGAACTGTGCTACAGCCTCAAAACGGGTTGAGGTGAGTTTATAGTCAGGGTGAAAGGTCAGAGGTCACGGTGCAGCAGACTCACCTCTGCAGCAGCCTGTAGAGGAACAGCAGGTTGGTGTGCAGCGGCATGCAGGCCAGCGTCTTCTCTCCGTCGGAGCCGAACTCCTCGCTGCACTGACTGACAGCATCTGAAACAGGAGCACAGGTGAGCAGCTGCAGCGGCTCCGGCTCCTGCAGAACCTGTGTGCTTCCAGCTGGTACCTTTGAACAGAGCAATCAGGATGTCGGGTGGCGTGCTGATGTCCTGCGCCGTCCTCCACGGCAGCATGAAGGGCTCTCTGCTGACCAGCCGGGCCGGGCCGGACTCAGCCGGGTCGTACAGGCTGGACGGCAGGCGGTCGAACTCGGTCAGATGGATGTAGGAGAGCCAGAGCAGCGCCCGGTCGCTGGCTGTCAGGTGGTCCGCCACGCTGTGGTCCTGAGTCGACTTTAAGGCCGTCTGGAACAAACGAGAACCGGCCAATCAAAGCCGTGAAAACGACCCGACTCTGCATCCGCTGACCCGGTTCCTGAGTCTGTTTCAGTACCTGTAAGATGGCCAACGCCGTCTCCATGCGGCCCGTGAACAGACTGAGCTGGACTCTGTAGAGCAGCGCCTCCATCAGCTGGAAGGACAGCTTGTCCGTCACACCCGCCGCCGCCTCGGCCTGCAGGAAGTGCAGCAGCCGCTCGCTCACGTAGTCCTTCCCCTCGAACGAGCTCTCCAGGTTCAGGTACTGAGGAGCAGAACCAGCAGGGTTTACTGGACCCGCTTCAGACCAGCCGGGCTGCTTCGTTTCAGGACGGCTCAGGACCAGTTTTTCAATATTAGTTTCAATACAGTTAATTCAGTTAGTTTTTACAGTGTATTTGTTAGTTTTTATTAGTTATTATTGCTTTTTAATGCTTAATTTTACTTTAGTTTTTATTAGTTCTAGTATTAGTTTTTTTTTGTAGTTTGAATAAAAATATTTGACAACGCATCCTCCAGCTTGAAGTGTTCCTGTGAGTTAACCAACCATAACTAACCAGCAGCTTTCTGATCATCAGTCACAGCAGTCTGTTATATCAACACCTTCCTAAAATAATCCCGTAACTCAATTTTGCCAACAAAGGACTTGGTCAATTGTTTTAAAGGGATCCAGGATTAGTTGTAACATTAGACTTTATTTGATAAACATTTATTTTAACTGTAAAATTAAAAACTGTAAAAATATTGTAGGATGTTTAGTTTTTATCAATTTTAAAAATATATTTTAACACGGACGGAGCCATTTTATTTACACACAAAGCATTCTGGGTAAATGATGACGTGGATAGGTCCTCGGTGCGAGGCTGCTAGCGAGCTATATCCAYCCTGAAGGTTAATCTTGGACAATATCTGATGATCGACTCTTTTAAATGAAACCAGAGAGCGTTGACAGAGAGGAGAAGGTAGAAACGACTCAGCCTGGAACTGAAAATATGGATGGAGGACAACAGTTTAGCTTGTCTTAATACATATAAGACAATATAGCATTGGCGCTAACGCTAAAGCTAACAGGCTAAGCTGAGGTTGTTCTTCCATGAAGCAGCTCTGTTGTCCTCCATCCATATTTTCAGTTCCAGGCTGATTCATTTCTACCTTCTCCTCTCTGTCAACGCTCTCTGGTTTCATTTAAAAGAGTCGATCATCAGATATTGTCCAAGATTAACCTTCAGGGTGGATATAGCTCGCTAGCAGCCTCGCACCGAGGACCTATCCACGTCATCATTTACCCAGAATGCTTTGTGTGGAAATAAAAAGGCTCCGTCTGTGTTAAAACATATTTTTAAACTTTTAGTTTAAAAATTTACAAAACTAAACAGCCTACAGTATTTTTACAGTCTTTATTTTACAGTTAAAATATATGTTTATCAAATAAAGTCTAATGTTACAACTAATCCTGGATCCCTTTAAGAAGTTGACAACAGCTGTCTACGTACCGGTGCTACCTGGCTGGGGCTTGTTTTTCACAGGAACTACTGAAAGAAGCTAGCTTGTTAAGATACTCACAGCTAGTTAGTCCCTTGAGAAGTATTCCACCCATTTTATCACATTTTTATCACCTGTTTCCACAACAAGATACATGTTTTTTTATTTTCTTACAGTCATATTCAAGGAAATACCTAATCAGATATTGCTGCTTTCTGTAAACTCTTGTTGTGGTCACAGTGTAGCTGAGTGCTGAGCAGCAGCAGACTGTAAACAAGCATTGTACCTGCACCATGGTACCATTTTACCATCAGGTGCTGTAAGCTTGTCGCAGCTAATGTGAAACTACTTTAAGAAAAAAAAAGATTAGTTTAATCAGTCCACACAGCTCAAAATAAAGTGACAAACAGGATATTCTATCTATTATTTCAGGTAGTTTTAGTTTTTTTTCATTTATTACAGTTTTTATTTATTTCAGTTAACTAAATTCTTTTTCAGTTTCAGTTTTTGTGATTTGGTTAGTTTTAGTGAAGTGTAACAACCCTGGTCAGGACTTACGCTCCACCACACACGGTGGTCAGCAGCATGCTCCACGGCCATCTCACACATCTCCTGCACCTCCTCCCTGCTGCCGCGGCGGGAGAACAGCGACAGGTAGTGGGTCCACACCTCGGGGTCGTCACAGTTACTCTCCAGAGAGCGAGAGAGCGTGTTCAGAGCCGCCTCCAGACTCTCCGCCGCAGAGCTGCAGGGAGCCGAGCACACGGTCAGAACCAGAACCAGACGCAGACCTGGATCAGCAGCTGCAGGAAACTCACATCCCAGTTTGGTTCAGGTACTTGAAGGCCAGTTTGATCCACAGCTGCGTGTCTCCAGGACTCTCCAGAACGCTCGCCTCCAGGTTGGAGATGTCGTCCGTCTCACTGGTGAAGTAGCGCCTGTCCTCTGACGTGACCACGTCCATGGGGACCGAGCCGCTGCTGGACGTGTCCTCTGTCAAACACAAACAGGAAGAGGAGGAGCTTAATGTGTTAGAGTTAGTCATGGAGTTCCTCAGGGTTCAGTGCTTGGACAAATCCTCTTTACTTTATATATGCTTCCATTAGGTAAAGTTATTAAACAGCATGGGATAAAATTCAATTGTTTCGCTGATGATACTCAGTTATATTTTTCTACGAAACCTGATGAATCCAACCAGTTACTTAAACTACAAGCATGTCTTACAGACATAAAAACATGGATGACTCTTAACTTTCTGCTTCTAAACTCAGATAAGACAGATGTTCTGGTTCTTGGACCTGAACATCTTAGGGATCAACTTTGCAGCCTTTCAGCTCCTCTGGATGGCATTAATCTGGCCTCCAGTTCTAATGTAAAGAACCTTGGTGTTATTTTTGATCAGGACATGTCTTTTAACCCCCACATTAAAAATGTTACCAGGACCACCTTCTTCCACCTGTGTAATATCGCTAAAATTAGAAACATTTTGTCCAAAAATGATGCAGAAAAACTGATTCATGCATTTATCACGTCTAGACTGGATAACTGTAATTCTTTATAATCTGGACATCCAAAAAACTCTTTAAAGGGATCCACGATTAGTTGTAACATTAGACTTCATATGATAAACATATAC